AATCTTGCTCGAGTCAGGCTTTGCTGGGGCTTTACCTTTTATACTGAAAGTGTAAAGGAGACTGCAGCAGGAGAGTATTTTAACAAGCACAGGCTCAGCATGACCCAGCGGAGCAGGAGCACGAGCAGTCTGCAGGGAGAAGGGAGTGGAGAACTCCTGTCCTCCCACGAACATTTCACACTTCCTAGCTACCATGCAAAGACATGTGCAGGGAGACAGGGTCACCTCCTCACAGCTCACCATGTGGTGTCCTTATCTATCCCTTTATGCCTGACCTTATAAATATCTTAAATCTCTGACTTCTATAGCCTTCCCTGGGTATTAAGAGAGGAGAGATATTTTTTAATAGCCTCTTCCTCCCTGAGGACTCAAGTGTCAAGTAGTGAAAGATGCCAAATTTTCAGCTAGGGGAAGATTTGGTGGTTGAGAATTAAAAGGCTGAAGGATAAAAAATGAACAAGGGGAACAGGAACCACAGATTAGGGTCTGGATTCTGCTGCTGGAACAGAAAGTCTATTGGAAACCATAGGGGGAAGTTGTTTCTGCTAATGAACAGATGATTAGTCTAGGCATATTTGAAATTTGCTTTTAAGTACACCCAAATGTTCTTGATTGGGACAATAGCCATAGGTCAGAACAGGTAAGCAGGTAATGGAAAGTTTCCACTGAAAAAACCTGAGTCTGGCCCTGTGCAGGGCCAAGTGTGTTTATGTCACCTTTTAGGCTTTCCTTCATAGCCTCTCTAGGGATTAATGATGCTGGGCAGCCAGGATGGGAAGACATCACTTCTACCAGACTGTTCCTTGAAATGTATACAAGGATTAATCCCTCCCATGTCACTCTTTGAAGCTGTAGGTCAGATTGGTAGCATAAACCATAATACTGGTGGTGGTAAGAGCCCACAGTGGGCAGCGATGGTGATGGGGATTGACAGAACATTGCTTTACTTCAGAGGAATTGGAGAACCCCGGGGTTTGGCTCGGAGAAGGGTAGAAGAGACAAATTTTCTAACAAGCGTGGCAGGCCACCGTAATCCTAGTTGCAGAACTGGGAGGAGAAACTGGAACAGGAAACTGTTCTGCAGTTTCAAACTATGCTGTAGAATGGCAAGTTCAGCTTAGTTCCATGATTAATGACTTAATTTTAGTTGCTTTCCATAATTGTAATCTATTTTATTTTCTATATAGAGCATGTAATGTACATTATACACAGACCCCTTGTCAGCTTTAGTTTCTGTTTCAGAATTAGCCAAGCTCTTTATTTGGGTGTTTCTGTTAATCAAAACATTTCCCTGATTTAACTTTTTATGAATATGGTAATGAGATATAGTGTGTTTCTTCCTCTTGAGATCATTGGCTCAGCGCTAGTGCCAAACTTGATCAAAGGTTACTGCTATTGGAGATCTGTTGCACGATCTTTATGAACAAAGTAGAAAGCCTCAATCCAATTTAAACTGAACAACTGTTCACATTATAAAACTGTCATTTATTTTGGAAATAACAGGAGGAGAGGACATTCAGAAAGAATATAATAAAAATATTGGCTGGATAATTAAGTAGTCAAGGACTGCTTAGCATTCCCATGCCACTGGAGAAAAAGAAGTATTTCTAGTAAGCTCTTGCTCCTTTTAATACTGCAAAACGGATGTAATCTGAGAAGGCAAACTGGCTTCCAGGATATGTTTCAGGACATCAGCGCACTGGCAGCATCTGGTAGCATCATAGTGTTGGAGCCCAGGAGGTTGTGATGGATTTCCTTGTTCTGTATTCTACATATTTCCATATTAGATATATTCCATACTTCTAGAATTTACTAGACTTGCAATTAGATAAGTAATATTTATGTTACATATTTGTAAAATATGTAAATTAATATTTTAATATTAGCAAATTTTTGGACAAATCTTGCTTTCCTTTGGATAGATCTGAGTAAACCAAGCAAAATGGTACACAAATATAGAACGTCATCCATGAATACATGTTCACCCAAGCATTATGTCTCCATGTATTAATTAATATTTGTAACACGTTTCTAAGGTTGTCAGGGCTGAAAATAGCTCTTGTTTAGGGGGAGGCAGTTTATCAAAGCACTGTGGTGGTGGAGTGCCACCTAGTGATCTTCCTTACAACAGTGTGGTGCGAAAGGAAACATTTCAAACCCCTCCTCCCCAAGCTTTCCTTTATCAATTCTCTTATCGTTACCTTCCAGAGTCCCAAAGGTTCATTTTGCACTTTCCAGAAGACGTGTACTGTCATGGTCCCTGCCCCAAATTGCTTACATTCTCCTGGGTGATGTTATGATGAGATTTTACTGTATTTATTTATATCTCTGGAGTAGCCCATAAATCCTTTAAATCAGGAAGCGATGGCTTATCATTTTCATGCTACTACAGTTTAAAACATGCATTAAATTAACTGCCTGAGGGTTGTGACCTCAAATAAATCGGTGAGCAAATATTTCTTCTCCAGTAACCCTTTCTGCATGCACGCACGCAAACACAAACACCTCGCTGCTGCAAACCTCTCTTTTATGCAGCTGGTGAAACAGGCAACTCTGCTTATTTACCATGAAGCATGGCTGTCTCTTGGACAAAGTCAGATATTCAGGGAAATAACAATCTTTTAAGTGAACTGAAACTTTCTGGGTCCAACTTGTCCCTGCTGTAAATGGTGATTTATTAATTTTTATCTAACATGTTTTTTCCTTCTTCTGTGTCTGTGGCAGTTATTTGCTCTTACTAGCAGAAGGGTTTTCCCAGAGGTGGGAATGTAGGCTCAGCTTAAAAGAGAGAGTTAAAAAGTCATTCCAATTCAGGAGCTTCATCTTGTCTAGAGGTTCACTCTAGGACATGAGCGTATATACCATTTATAGCCATGACAGCCACAACACTATTGCAGGGTGGCAGATGTGGTTATTTCCACTTTACTAATGTATATAAAGCATGAGGAATTTTAAGTGGCCGGACATTCTTGCTAATAATATTGGAAATTCTTGCTAAGGTCAGAAACCCAGATGTCCTCTTGAGTGTCAGTCCAACTCCTCAGTCATGAATGTAGGTTTGTTGCAGAATTAATTCAAAATAAATATTTGAGTCTTGTCACAGATTTGTGTCCTGTTTGCACTTAAAACTATGCACTTTGAGTTGTGGTGGTTTAAGGCATGGTGGCTGGCTTATCTAAAACAGGCATTGGCATGAGTTATCATGGACTCCTAGCACAGTCACCCTACTATGCCTGCACTGCAGTTAGAGGTGCAGCTACTATGATGGTGAAACTCATTGAATTTGAATGAATTTAGCTCAAATAGCACTTGTCATGAAGACCAGTCTATACAGTCACCTTTAGAGGGTCTCACAGGACATAAATCACCACAAGTTTGAAAAACAGAAGCTCATGAGAATGCCTCAATGAATGGGTATCATTTTTGGACACATTATGCTGTTACCCACAAATGCAAACTTAAAGCACAAAGGTAACTACCTTCCTTCATAAGTTTCCACTCCTGTTTTGTTGTTAAAGCCATAAGAAAGCGTCTAATAAATATAAAGGTTATATATTTAAGATGTAAATTTGAAGAGTTTTTTTATCTTATAATCTCTTCTTTTTTTAAAATGAGCATATCCCATTCCTCCAACGGTATATTGCTAGCAAAATTAATGTCTTTTGATACTTATTTACACATGCAGCTATTTTAAAGCTCTAAAAGTCTGATCCTCTTGAGAATCTGAAATCCTAGAATCAGGGAATTTATCATAATAATCTTCCTGGTAATTTTATTATATAAGAAACATCAGTACAAAAGAAAATGAGGAAAAAGAAGAGTGCAAAACTTAGGAAAGGAACGTTATTAACTTTTTTATTAGAAGTGTGTTTTAAAATGACTAAAACTATGTTTCGGCATGTAGGATAGTTTGTAAATTAAGTCATACACAAGATAATACATTATAAAATGTGTATTATTCTTCAGTTCTAATGGTAAAATCAGACCATTTGAAAGCATCCATTTCAAATTGCCTATTTTACCATACAACCACTAAAACAAAGCTTTAAAATTCAGGCTTCATTCAGTCAGGGAAAGTTTTCCATTGTCATTATTAGTTTCAAATGGTACTTTATGGTTATAACCAACATCCATTCTGCTGTGGAGTGTGCACATGGTATAATACATTCCCAGCCCTAAAAACCTATCAGATTAAATAATTCGTGACTGCACAGAGATAAAAACAACTATTTCAAGGGTGAGCTGGGACTGGAGCAAACAGCAGCAGCTGATCCCTCAGCACAGCTCTCCTGTGTTCCCTTTTGCTGCACCATAGTTTGTGCAGCATCATTCAGCAGGCACAGACAAGCTACTGTCAATAGGCAGGTGTAATGAAATGACAGAACCCAGGCTCCAAATGCAATTTGTGCCCCAAACCCACACAAATCCCCTTTCATAACCTTCCACAGGTCCCTGTCTCCCTCTGTTCTGTGAGGGGACTTTTCGACTCTTACTGCTAAGGTGCTGCTGACCTCACTGCTCTGCTCATGGAGCAGCTCCTGGCCTTTCAGGCCAGAGGGGACATATTCCCCAGTGTCACAGATTAAAATCCCTGTCGGCTGAATTTCACCAGCAAGATGGACAGCTTTGGAAGACAACTCCGAGGCCGAAGCGACGGGGGCGGTTGACCAGGGTCTTGTGCAGGGCCGCGACGGGCCTCTCCGGGCAGCCTCTGGGCTGCGGGCCCTAACACAGGGAGGCCGCAGGTCTCCTGGAGCAAACCCCGCCTTCGCGCCCCACAGCGCGTCACCGCGGCCCGGCCCGC